CAGCACCCCAGAGAGGTCACAGGGATGAAGGTGAAAAGCCAGCGCTACCTGCAATGCCATGTTACCCTCCCTGCTTTCAAAACCCTGGTCCCCTCCAAAACACAGCGTATGGTTTTCGTTTGTTATGCGTAAAACAAAAATGCTCAGACCGCATGTGCTGGGGCACCTGAAGTAGTTTCAGGGTTTTCTATCAAATTCAGATACAGTTTTCACTTTTGTTTTGTGGATTTTTTTGCCACAGAAATATATCGTTGCTATTTCTATGTACCCATATAGCCCCATGGCCCTGCACAGGTAGATAATGCTATGCCGGCAAGGTAACAAAATTGCCTTTGTAAAAAGACTCAGCCCCATGGCCCTGCACAGGTAGATAATGCTGCACACCAGCTATGCCGGCAAGGTAACAAAATTGCCTTTGTAAAAAGACTGGCCTTTTTTTCCTGACTAAAACACCCTCGCTGGAGATCTTCGCTGACACAAAAGCATAGTGCAGCTGAACTAAATCCTCACTCAGATTATTGAACTGTACCACCAATCAGCATTTCTGTATTACGGCTAAAATAATCCTGCCTGTAAACCACTTAGCCAAGATAAGTGGAGCAAGGGAACATTTTTAAATTGCTCTCCAGGAATGGCTGAAGCAGGCATTTAACAGAAGAACCTATTTTTAATATTTATATCTCACAAACCTTTCTTTACAGGCTCATCACCTTGCAAAAGCTGTTTTAAGAATACAAATGTATCCCACCTAGCCACTGGCAAGTCACAGGCCCACATACATAAATTATTTTTGGAAGGCAAAATATACAGGCTAGCATCTTACACATTTTAAATTAGGGAAGGCCAGTCTTGCCTGCTTCGTATTGCATCTGTCATGTACCCTCCTGAGGAAAAGCCAGAAGAATCAAGGCACTTCATGCCAGCCAACTAGTTTTTGTTACAAAGTGTTGAAAGGTAGCCAGCCTATATTTTCCGTGTTTCTTTGTCACAGAGACTATGAGCTTTCCTAAGGAGATGACAGGTGTGATCCTCATTTTCCACAAGGATAAATTTCAGCTTCATGTACAAGGGCAGCTCTCTTTTGTTCTCACTTGAGCTTCACGCTGAAGGTGGGTGCTTCCCTTATTAAGGTCCAGCACGGCTGCCATTCAGTAAGGTACTTCCTCAGAAATCCTAGAGTTTCTCTAACTGAATGCTTCAAAAATAAAAACTTAATGCTCCCTGGAAGCAGACCTGTCCACACCAGATGAACTGCAAAGGGAATACTTGGATCGCTGCAGAAGCCAGCTAGAGGAGGCACGCTACCCTCAATGATATCAGCCCTGAACTGGAAAGACAGAGTCTCTTATGGAGAAATAAGCTGTGTCAGCCCTGCTGCTTCACTGCAGAAAGGCCAGAGCAGGTTGAAAAGGGTTTGGGCATCTGACTGGCACATGCTGCTTTTCCTCCCCCGCTCCTCAGCCTGGGATTTACATTCCTGCCATAAGCTGCTCCTTCAATACAATTTGTCTAGCAGCACCGAATTTGATAAGAACAGCTGAGAGTTTTGCATTTTTATGCGTCTAGTGAAGTGTCGCCTGTTGGAAAGAAATCAACGTCCCTCTGGGGGGAAGCAAGATCCAGGAGGATCTGCTGGGAAGAACCTGAAAGGTGTGTGAGGTCTCTTCTTTCTCTGGCCTGGCTGGCTTTTCACAGCTTTATCATAATCTCAATAAAACCTGAATGAAACATCCAACCAAATCTATCTAGTAAAAGACATGCTGTTTTGTTGCCTGGTGTTTAAAGTGAAGTCTCTGAAATTCCTCCTTACAAGTTAAATCCTCCAGAGGAAGCTGTTGTATTTCACTGCCATGTGAAGTTTTCCCTGTAAATCAACTCCCACTATTTAAGACATGGCATAATATTTCATCCTTTTTAAAATAAGCACGTGTATCTTTAATGGGATAGTATCAGTCCCTCTAATTCACATTCATAACTGCTTATGCATCAAGTCTGGCAGAGACATCTGAACGCTGCAATACAGCAAAATCCTCTGTCACTCTCCTCTAGCTTGCCACTGAATGGCCCCAGTAATTCAGAGGTACATTGCTTTTAATAATGAGTCACTACCATATTGTTGCTTCCCCCTGTCCCCCAGCAGCAAAATCCTCTTGATATTTCAATATTTTAATCTTGAAAGTATTAACAAGTTAAAAAAAAAAATAGTCTGTTTTATTGCGGTTACATCAGAGGACATTTCTAGTTACAGCACACTTGCTGCTAAATTCTCAAAGAGGTCAGAGGAAGGTCAGTCACAAGTTTCACACTTGTAATCTCGCCTTCATCCAGAGCTGCTAACACTGCTATTTTCTATGGCTGCTTCATCACATTGTTTAAAATAATATTCTCGCTTAGAACAAGTTTCAAAAAACCTTTGAAGGATAAAAAAAAAAAAACCCAAGATCTCAATCCTATGAGTTCTTGCATAAAATGCGAGCATATGTATAATTCCACTGATAACCCTACAGAACTCAGCTAGCATCTCTGAATTTCAGGAGACCAGTTTCATTAGACAGAAAACTTCATATTCAGTTCGGGGATGATCTCATAAATTTAAAAAACCCCAAAAACAAACACCAAACCCACAGTAGTACAGACAGGACTTTCTGGGAAAACGGGGAACAGGAGGACACTTCATAGGAAGGCATCTCTGGCTCACTCATGCAGGGAAGATGGTTACCACAATATATAGACAGGGAGAAGAGGAAGAAGCTATGAAATGCCACAGAGATCCCAGGGGAAATCAGGCAGGCAAAGACAAGGGGGATCTCCATTTTTCCACTCAAGAGGGAAATGTGGGGAGTGGAGGACACAGGCCCCTTGCTTGACTCAAGATCTTCCCCTCCGTTCATTTCGCCACTAAAAGGAGCAGACAGATAACCAGCAAAGGTTGTTTGCTTTTCATTGAGCAAGAGAGGCTGCAATCCCATTTCAGAGCTGCAGATGCTCTGGATGCCTTAGCAAGTCTTAGTTAACCTAGAGCATAAAGTACTTTCCAGCTAACCGATAATAGCATCCTGGGCCAAACCAACCATAAGGCAGTCCTTGACTAAGGTCCATAAGGCATGTTGTTATGAGACGTTCTCTAAAAAATGAGAAGAGAAATCCTGCGTACTCTTCAGTTTGTTAAAACCCAAGAAGCTAATGCTTATGGCTCTAAGTTGCCTCCTCTTCTGCCAGTGAACTTGAATTCCTCACTGAGCAGGAGGAGGAAATACAAGCAGCAGTACCATTTTGCCTAAACTGAGATGTGAAGTGGATTAAGTGAGCCACTGAATAAGCTGTCTTGGTAACAGATTGTACTTTCTTCTAGTCCTTGCTTACCAGGTCCACAGAGGAGGACATTTGGAAGGACTGCTTGTTTTGTTGAAGAGGATAGAACACCCACAGAAAGGAAAAATCAGTGGAGTTTACCTGTCATCACAGTAGGTAAATTTCATGTCCATGCTATGGCGACTCAGGAAGGTCTTGCTGTCCAGGGGGATATCGATGTTTGAAGGATGCTGAATAGGCTCACACATGATTATAAGGCAGGTGAGAAGAGGCTCTTTATACCCACACAGAGTGTGAGGAGGGCAAGTGTTATAAACTTTAACTTGTCCAGTGCAGTGCAAAACCTGGAACATTGATTTTTGAATGAGAAAACAAATTTAGCATGTACTTTCTCTACATGCCAAAATGTCTTTTAAAATCAAACCCACTTATTATGGCTCAAATATGGTACCTTCCATGTGGCAGACTTGAGGTTAACAGTTCTGCCTCTGTTGGTAACAGTGCATTTCATCCTCATGAAGAAGTCACGCTCAGTTGACATCTCTTTGCTTTTCTTTCCAAAGCCTGGACCTGTATAAGGAACATGGCAAATGAGTTTTCTCAGTTTTGCTTCTTGATTTTTTCTACTTATAAGCATGAAGGATTCAATAGAAATAACAGACTAATTCTCAGATAATTTACCTGCAGAGACCATCAAAGATGCATGGACCATTGAGGAGCAGTTTGTAAAGCTCAGACCTAAAACTTAGAACTTAAGTGGAACTTAAGTAGGACTTTGTGCATTTAAATCTATGTTTTAGCTTGCAGCACATAAATCTTTGCAAAGCATTACAAGTGAAAACATTATGCCTGTCTTAACCTGATGAAAGGGAAACACTAAACAAACAGTTCTTAGTGCTATCATATATAAGCAATATTTGGCAAAACGAAACAAATCTACAAAGTATTGAATAACAGTTAATGATTACTCTGGGAATGAAAATCCCCTTTACCATGACTAACAGATCTCTACTGCCAGCCAATTACTTCATTTGGTTATTTAAAAAGCAAACAGTGTCTCTCTTCTATTTTCATTACCATTTTTCAGACTCAGATTCTCTCGAATTTCTTCATGGTCACATGGATGAGTGAAGTCAAAAATGCTGTGTCCAGTTAATTCCACCTGTGCAGAAGAACGAACTATATTTAGCCAAATAAAAGCAACTAATAGCATTTATCTGTTTTTAAATACCACCTATTCAGATGAAACTGGTCACTAGAACTAAGCGCATCAACAGCTAGCTTTGGGCTCATTTCCAGGATTTTTCCGAGAGGAATTAAGAGGAATCAAAGATGCCAAATTCGACCGTGGTCTATCAGTGGCGTGCAGTGGGTCAGAGTAGGTTTAACTCAGTCTCCTTTTTCAATAATTTGCGTTGTGTCCTATATTTAACCTGTCCCGTAGTCTAAGGCACAAGTTGAATAAATGCCCATTCTCCTCTCCATGGCAATATCTAGGAAGGCAAGTTTGCAGTCACCAACGACACTACAACTTTGATAGGGAGAAGGGAAAAACACCACACTGTTGTCTGGTGTTCAGGGTACCTGCCTGAGAAATAAGAAATTTTATTTCCAGTCTTTTTTGCAGTGACACGCAGCTGTTTTTCTGCATTTAGGCATAGGACTCATTTCTAGGAATTGTATTACAAAGACGGAAAGTGTTAGGGAACAAGTTACCTGGGTAAGACCCATGTATTTGTTGACATTCTCTGACAAAAAGATCATGTCTCCATCCTGTGTCACCACGGCAATAAATCCCTCCAAAGCTTTCAGGTACAAGTTGTCCATCTGCTGATCTGCCTCTAGTTCATTCTCGTTGTCAGCACATACTGAGAAAAAAAGAAAAAAAGCATCTAAAGCCTTCAGTACCCTAGCCAGACTTTTTCAACACAAGCACATCGAGTTACAAGGCAACAAATATTTTTCTGCTGTTAGAATTTCCTTTCCACAAACCCCTTCTGGGGTGGGGCCTTCCTTGAGAAGAAAGCTCTCTGCATGTATATGAAAGGGATGTCCTTATCACTAGAAAGATATTTTTCTAAACTTTTTGGCAAATGCAACAGACCCTCTATTCACCTTTAGCATGTTTCTGTAAGACATGTTTTCAGCACATAACACCTATATGCTCAGACACTGAAGTGCATCTTCTTTGTGCACATTCTTTTGGCCACATGCAACCTTTATTATCTCCCAAAAGGCACAAAGTATAGGGCAAATCTTACAGAAGGTAAGTAAATTTGTGCATTCCTAACGACCATCTAAGAAAAGACGTTTCCATCAGGTCAAGTTTTCTAAGAAGTTCAAATACTTTTCCTATGAAGCATGCCTAAATAAACCTCTCGACTCAGTATGGAGAGGTCTGTTAACATGACCTTGAGAAAAAGTAGAAAATACACTGCCTTGAAGCCCTTTCAGGGGAATCTCTCTTTCATCCCATAAACCTCAGTATTCCTGGGAAAAACACAGATCCATCCCACCAATACCTGCTTTTTCATCTGCAGACATCAAAACTCCCTATGTGCCACTCCACCAAACTCTGACAAGCTTCGTCTCCCACCCACGCTCCTCCCGTCCCGCAAGGAGGAGAGCCTCAGACCCCGCTTACATCCTTTACGTTTGCCTATGCAGATTCACGAACCCAGTGCATCTTACCCATTTATGGAGATGTGCCACTGTTGTGCTGAAATCTAAGGCCATGCTAGAATATTTATTAAGGTGGGCTTTTTTTGGTTACTCATTTTCCTGTTGCTTTTTGGCCGTGCTGTAGAGATAACTGATGGCACTGCAGCGCCCTCGTTGCATGTGCTCCACATTGCTCATCTGCAATGGGAGGCCGTAAGTAGGCAAAGCCGCAGGCGGGGAGGGAGGGAGGAGACACTGCTCCTCCTAATGCCAGTCACCCAAGTGTCCACTCAGCACTCTTGCCTTCCCTTCTACACTTTTAAGCATGTTTCAGCACCATGAATAAGAAGCCTGCAGGAGATGATTTGGAGATGACTAGTATCGAAAAATTTCTGTGTAGGAGCTGGCCCATTAATTTATTGACATGTTTTATGTGAAACTTCTGGGATTATTTTTTTTAAAAACTATTTACAGATACCGCATCTGGTCTGTGTACCTCAGACAGGCTGTGGTAAGCTTATCTTTACAGTTTTGTCAGTTAGCCTGCACATTTGCGATCAGTCATTGCAAATACAAGTAGTGGTAAGGCTCTGAATTTTTTGGGAAAAAGCAAACAAACAAACAAAACCCCAAACCCCTTATTGTCTCAGAATAAAGAATAACCAGCTCCAACCATACACTGCTGAAGATACAAGTCCATGGGTAAGTCCCACCTAGATCAAAGGCTCTCCATAGCCCGAGGCAGCAAGGATGATCCCAGAGGAGCTGCAGCGAGCTGCTCTGCGCCCCTCGCCCACAGCACAAGAGTGCTCCAGGCTGGGCCCACCACCAATTTTGCCGGCCAGAGGCTCCAGCCATAATTTCATCAGCCTTATTTGCATGAACAGTGAGACTCTCAAACGAGTTTCGTGGAGAAGTTGCTCCTCTTTGTTGGTTTAATGTTGCCGTTTCAGCATACAGTTTTTGTTCTCTAGTACACATTCTATTAGCACTTGAGAAAAGTATTTCAATTTTTTGTTCTTTTCCTCCCTGAAACAGCACATTCATCATTTCCCTTCATGTTTCTTGTTGAAATGCTCATTTTGGAAGAAGTCTAGAAGCAGGAACGGGGTATTGCTTTGTAAAACACTATTAGAAGTGGTTTGGGTATTTTTTTGGATAGGGAAGAAGCTGAGCCAAACTAACAGAGTTTTGACTTTGAAGTATTAATGAATTATGATTAAAGGACAAGTCCGATCTACATACCTCCTGCAACTGCATTGGCTAGTGCCTAAGGATGGACAGCGAGCAAATGCAGAGGGATGAGCATTTGCAACACAGAGCCCACTGAGCCACTGTTTGGAACAGATGAGTGGTGACAAAAATGATGCTGGCTGCCACTTCTGCACCCTCCTCCTGGCAGCATCTCATTACCCGTCACGCAAACACAGGAATGAACAGACTCAGCCCCAAAGCCATTGGGAGCACTTAGTTTATCACCCTTTGCTTCTCAGCGCAATCGTTTGGTAGCAGGGAAGAGAAGACATCTCTGGGGATGGCCAGCACAGGCTGGGGATTTATCATTTTGTGTCCCTGCACAGCAATTCTAACTACACACTCAGGGGCCAGTTCTTCCTCAGCACAAAGCAACTGACTTCAGGAAATTACATCAGGGCTAGCATTTAAAATACAGAAAATACACAATAATATATTTGAATAGTATGCACTTTGACCATAATGACATTTAGAGAAGGGGGGGCGGAAAAAAAAAAAGGTAAGTGACCATCTGCTCCCAAGCTTGTTTCTGCTGTGTAAAGAATGTCAAGGGTCTTTTTTTACTTTTCCGGAAGCAAACAAATGGTTTATTCAGCAGGGATCATGGCTATAGCCCAAGACAATCGGCCAAGTGTGGGTTCGGTGAAAAAAATGACTTTTCAGCTCTAACCCCAGACCCTCCTTTCCATTTTTTTTTTCCCAGCTCATTAAGTTTGCATTAACAAAACATGACCATTCAAAGGCAGGAAGGCTATTCAAAGCATTTGTATTCTTAAATGCCTCCAACAGTGAAAGACAAACACTTTACTTGTATTATCAGATGATTAGGTTTGCTTTTCCATGTATATAAATTATATTACTTACACAAACACACACAGAGGACATAGGATCACTCACATCGGGGCTGCAGGTTCAAACTCTTAACATCCTAGCTGAGCACAGCACTTGAAGATATAGTCAGCTTTAAAGCACACGGTTACGTTAGCGTTTTGTGGGATCAGAGTTCAACTTCTTTTATTAAAATTACCTTTGTCCAGCTGGAGGCACCTGTGGTGTAGACTGGGAAGAGGGAAGGAAGAGGGTTTGTGCTGCTGTGCACCCCCTCTCACATAACCCAAAAGCACAACCAAGGTATTTTGCAGGCACCCTCCAGCTTCCCTGGTAACTCAATAAACCCCACTGCATCCCCTCCTTCCCCTTTAGCAGCAGGCAAGGGGAGCTGGCAGATACGGGTTTCTTGTAGTACTTAATAGGGCACGCTTGTGTTTCAGAGATGGAGCAGCTCTATCAAAGAAACTGTGGGCACATAAAGGTAGGTGACAAACACCGCCAGTGCTGCTGCCCATCTATTCCTTGCCTGTCCCCCACGAGCATCCCCCAGCAGCCTGCCCAGGGAAGCCCAGGCACTGGGGGATGCACCAAAGGTGCTCACGTCTTCTGGTGTGCCCAGGTTCTTGGTGGTGGTGGCAAACACGCAGTCCCAGAACGTGTCATCTGGGCTAAAACCCTGAAGCATATTAGCTACCTGAAGATCCTTAGTCCGCAGCAAAGAAACAGGCAGGGCATCACTGTGGTGGCCCTCCTATGTCCTGTATCAGTTAACAGTATAATTATAGTAATATAAATAATAAACTTAACAGTCCCTCATATGGCTGCAGTTACAGCATTATAGCTTGTTCCCTTTCTCCTGTGAAAATCACTAGCTACTAATACACAGAGGATATACACACATTGGGAGATTGATACATCAGAAGCAAATCAGTTATTGCCACTAGCAAAAATGCGGTTTGCTTTAGAAAGAATCTGTTTTGCAGAAGAAAAACAAATAAAGCCATCGCTACTGCAGGCTGCTCCCAGAAATCCCTACTGTCTTTCACTTTAGCACAAGAAATTTCAACTTCAGATGGAAAACACTTCAGAAAGCTGGGACCAAATGAAAGTAGGAGGTTAGCATGAGGAGGTGGGGCAGAACTTGGTTTCCAGTAGGTCTGAGGTCACTCTACCTAGGTAGCAGCACCCCATGTAAACTTGCCGGAATTTTCCAGGTCTTAAAGAAAGGTAACCATGGACTCATTTTCCCCTGATTTTTAGGTAGAGATTTTGTCATCAGTATTGCTTTTCAAAATAGCTGCTAACTAAATTTTGAAATAAGGATGTGTTTCTTATTTTTTTCCCCGCAACTTTTTCCATCTCTAGTAATGGGGGTATCTCAGTTCAGGCACCATGACAGTGTAGCAGGGAGACTGGACTGCAAATATGCCAGTTTAACTATAAATTAATAGCACATTCAGCAGAATGAAGTACTGTAATATTACTGTTCATAGTACAGTTACATTTATGGATCCCAGCCAAGACTGTGCTCATGTAGTGCTGGGAAGCCTACAAAGGAGGGAGAATCCCTGTCTAGCTGAGATCGAGAGATCTTGAAACACGTCAGAGAGCCACAGAAAAGTGCAGTGGCCTCCCTGGGGTGACTGTCAGAGCTACAGCAGAACCAGGAACAGAGCAACCGTGTCCCACGTCCCAGTTTCATGGGCCATCCACTGTTCCTATTGCCCCAAGGCAGTATTTCTCAGTCTACATCAAATTTTGATACAGTATTTTTCAGTCCACGTCTCAGTCTTCACCAAATTTTGCTAAATATTTTTAATCAGCTCCATTTTGAAAAATTTCCTAACCACCAAAGTAGAGTTTATTCCTCAACAAGAAACTTTGAACTGTAATGGCAAATGCTTATTGCAGTGTTTATGATAACCTTTTATGCTAAAAATAGCTCTTGTAAACAAGCTTTGATTAATTCCCACTGTCAGGATGTGCACTGTTCCCAAGTTTAAGAACACTTTTTCCGTAGATGCTTGCTCATTTCCTTCAGTCCAACCTCTTGGAATGAGTCTGAAGGCTCAAAAATCAGGCTCTCCTTACAAGAAATAACTGCTCAGGTATAAACAACCTC